AGGTCATTATGAATTCATATGTACATATCTGGGAACTTTTAAAAATCCAAATTCCTGAGAATGGGATTGTAGTAGGGGCAAAACAGGGGGCGGAGTGGTGGGCGTAGCAAATAGCATATTGCTAAGCGCACCGCGGAGTAATGGTAGGTGTGGCAAAATTGCACTAACAGTGGGAGGGGCTTAAAACTTGAGCCTATGTTACAGATGGTAGGAGTCAGAAGTATGTACATAGTGTAGGGGTCCGGGGTGGGTACGTTACATGGTGCAGGGGTCAGGTGTGGGGGATCATAAGTGTGTGTAATATACATAGTGCAGGGGTCCTGGATGGGTAATTTACATGGTACAGGGGTCCGGGGATCATAAGTGTGTAATTTACATAGTGCAGGGGTCAGGTGAGTATTGTATAGAGTGTGGGGGTCAGGTGCAGGGCTTTTTTTTTTCAGCAGTAACATGGGGGAACATTGTCCCAGCACACCTTCAGCACTGAATGTATGTAATGGCAAAGGGTGCAGGCATGTGCTGGAGGGTCCATTGATGATAGCTGCTGGGGAATCTATTGTTGCTGGGAGGGATCTACTGTTGAAAGGTGCAATGTGTGTGAATCAGAAAATGTCAAAACACACACACACACGCAACTTTGATTCCGGAATAGAAACTCCAGAGATGCAAGCAATCCAGTAATGACCGACAACCAAAGCTAAATTCCATTATTGCCGAGTAATATTGTGCAGATTTCCAGTTAGGCATATGTGGTCAGGGAGTCACCAGATGCTTGGTAAACAAAGTCCAAAGAGCGCAAGACAAAAAAAAAAAAAAAAATTTATATCAGTGTTGGTTCAGACTGGCAATACAAAACATCGACCGCATTTCAGGTACAAAGTTTTTCCCTTCATCAGGGCTATAAAACAGGTATTTGATATGCAAAAAATAGTTGTAAAAACATAAAATGTACTATTAGAACATCATGTAAGCCTCAATACAGAGAACAGATGACTGGAAAATTGAATCTCATAAGTATTAATAAATTATCTTTGTTTTCAATCTCATGGACAATGGACTTCCATGCAAAATACTAGGGTTGCACCGATACCGATTTTTCTTTACCGGCAAGTTTTGAGTACCAATACTTTTGGTCAATTACTCGTTGATGCCAAGTACCAATACCTTTGTGGTGCGATTTGAGACCCTACAAAATGAATGGTCTCAAACTGCACTGCAAAGAATCTCACTCTACTTGAACAGGAATTTGGTGCGGTTCCTGTCCGAATCACAAGCGATTTCCCTGCGGGTGCGGTGTGCTTTGAGCCAGTCATTGTGTGGCTCAAATTACACTGCTCCAGCATGGAAAATGCATGTGATTCGGACAGGAATTGCACCACATTCCTGTTCAAATTGTGTGCGATTCTTTGAAGTGCAATTTGAGATATGAATTCATATGGGCTCAAATAGCACTGCAAAAGGTATCAGTTTCTGGTATCGGATCAAGTCTTAGTAACGGCAAGGATACTGGTGCAACCCTACAAAATCACAATGTTACAGAATTGCCTAAAATGAAACGTAGGTCAACTTCTGGGTTCATTAGGCACAGAGGGGATTGGGGAAAGGACTTCCATGATCATCTCCTGTTCCTACAGGCACAGCCATTTACCGCAGTCTATGCACCACTCAGCCATAACATTGATGACCCACCTAATATTGAGTAGGTCCCATTTTGCCACCAAAACAGTCCTGGCTCATGGAGGAATGGACTCCAGTAGACCTCTGAAGATATACAGTAATATCTGGTACCAAGCTATGAGTAGCAAATCCTTTAAGTTGCAAGGTGGGGCGTCCATGGATCAGACTTGTTTTTTTCAGCATATCAAAACATGCTCAATTGGATTGAGATCTGGAGAATTGGGAGGCCAGGTCAACACCTCAAACTTACTGTGTTCCTCAAACCATTCTTGAGCCATTTTTGCAGGGCACATTATCCATCTGAAGGAGACCATGGTCATCAGGGAATACCGTTTCAGTGAAGGGGTGTGCTTGGTTGGCAACAATGTTTATAGAGGCGGAATGGTGTCACAGTAACCCCATGAATGGCAGGGCCCAAGGTTTCCTGGTAGACCATTGCCCAAAACATCATACTGCCTCTACTGGCTTTCCTTCTCATACTACATCCTGGCGCCATCACTTCCCTAGGTAAGAGATGCACACCCATCAGGCCATCCACATGATGTAAAAATAAAACGTGATTCATCAGACAAGGCCACATTCTTCCATTGCTCCGTGGTCCAGTTCTGATGCTCAAATGCCCATTTGGCTGTGTACATGGTTCAGCATGGGCACCCTGACCGGTCTGTGGCTGCACAGCCCCATACACAACAAACTGCGATGCCCATTTTTTCTGCTTTCAAGACATCAACTTATCACTTGCTGCCCAACATATCCCACCAACTTTTAGATGCCATCGTAACGAGATAATCAATCTTATTCAATGTACCTTTCAGGGATCTTAAAGCGGCTTTTTGTGTTTAATAAAAAAAGTCATCAGCTACAAAAAAACTGTAGCTGCTGACTTTTAATAAACACACACCATAAATATGTATCAAACTTGCACCAAGGAAATAAGTGAATGACGCCTTGTGGGAGGGTGAAACGTGTTGACGTAACTTCCGTTTCAGACCCTGTAAATGTGACGTCACTTCTGGTGCGACGGTCTGCAGCCATCTTTAATGTGGGCAAAGAGGTCTGATTTTTACAATTTTGCCAGTTCTTCATTGTCAAAGCTGAGCAATTGTGTCTGTGCTACGATCCACCTGGTGGAACCTCTGGCAGGAATACTCAGAGCGTGGAGTCTAAGCCCTGGACTGCGTTTTCACCAGGGCCCCTGATGGTGGGGATGGACTTGAAGCAGAACAGGACCATGTCACGACCTCCGAGCACTCCTACCTGTGGCAGAGGGGTCCACCGGGGACGACTACAGGGGAGAGCCTGATCTGAAGAGACCGGCAGGATGGATCACTCGTGGTCAGACAGGCCAGATTGTTACCGTGGGAGCAGCGAGGTACAGAATCGGCAGGCAGAGGATAGTCAGGGCACACGCAGGGTCAATACCAAGGTAGTCAATCCGAAGGGAGATCCAAGAGAGAGGTCAGACAAGCCAGGGGTCAGGACAGGAGAAGGCAGCGTAGTCAGGGCAATCCGGGTCAGCAAACAGCAGAATAGCACAGGCACAGAGCACAGGAACGCAGGGGAACACAGGGAGACCTAACGGCAATTGGTGACAGCACAGGACATCTTTAAATATGGCACCCTGCGCTGTCATTGGTGCTCGGCATGCACCCGCGGCGCCTAGTGCGCATGCGCGAGTTTCCCCCTGCCGCGGTCGGCCGGGACCTAGTGCCTGTGTCCCGGCGCGAGCCGGGGAAACTGCGCATGTGCCGGGACGGACGCCGCGGCGGACCCTGACAGTCTGCCTAGCTGGAATTGTCAGAGGAGCTATTGGAACAAGTTTGAGGAGTCCTGATTTATATACAAAAAGGCTTTTATTCAGTTTGAAAATGGGAGTGCATTTGGAGCATCACTTGAGTATTAAATAGTTTAACAGTATTTTGCCATTTTTTTCTTTTGCATTTTTCGCATCCAGCCATTAGAATGCATTCAGAGTAAATTAAGGAGGAACCATGAGCAAAGGCTTGAGAGTAACTAGCTGGTCATAAAGTACCCCTATCCATCCATGAGTGAGAGTTTGGAGGAAGAGAAGGGTGGATTACCATCTGTGATATGGGAGATCTAATGCCCTATGGAAATTGGGGTTAATTACTTTGAGTGTAAAGGAAGGGGTTTTTTTTTTTTTTTTTGCATTTTTTTAATCGGTATACAGATATAGATCATTGGCATCTTTTTCTTTTATGTTTTTCACTATATGAGGAAATATCTGGGAAGGAGAGTCAGTGTGAGATCGCATCAAGAGTTATATCTCTGATGACACCCCACCTGCAGGCTTGCCTTTTTTTGCATCTTAAAGCCATACCAGTTTGGAAATTCACAACATTTGGGGAGTGTGGATCTACAAAATGCTTTTCACAGAAGATGTTAGCAAGCTGGAAAATTTATACAAGTTTGAGTAAATAACTTTTTTTCACATTTTTTGGAAAATTGGATTTTTATTTGGGACTTTCACATACAATCCACAGTTTTGATAATTTGTACTCTATTATTTTTATTACACACTTACCGTACCTGTCCCAGAATCCAACAAAGTTCTCACCCGCGTTGTCCCTTTCTCCTTCTTTCCTCCATGGCATTGACATCTCAACTGTGGGCAAGCTGTCACAGCCTGGTGCCCACTGCGCATGCGCGAGTCGCGCTGCACCTCCTAATTGGTCCGGCAGTCTTCTGGGACCTGTGAAAGTTCCCAGGAGACTGCAGGAGGGAGGCCGAACTTCCAGCTTACTTTGCAGCAAACTTAGCCGGAAGTGGCAGTGGGTACCTGTCAAACCAGGTACCCGTCCCCCCCCCCCCCTAAAAGATGCCAAATATGGCAGTGGAGGGGGAGGCAAATAAGCAGAGCTTCCACTTTTGAGTGGAACTCCACTTCAAGGGGGATCAGTGTACGTTTTCCAGTGCAGGATATATAAAAGGTCACTTTACATGGTTGATGTGAGCAACCACAAATTTTCTGACTTATAAACAATGGAAGAAGGGGGGGGGGGGATTTTCATAGCAACCAATCAGAAGCCAGCTGTTCTTAAAAACCGCAAAAGAAAGCGCATTCATTTCATAAAGCAGGAATCCACGTGGGATTTTCTTTCACATCGGTGAGTGAAATGGTAAACAAGACAAATATAGAGGGTGAATCTCCCTAACGGGGACACCGACAGCAATAAAAACCCAACAGGGGGTCTAATCCATCTCCATCCAAAACTACAAAAAAAGTTTTGCCTGTAGTTATAATTGAATGCGTAGCAAAACAAATGTATTTCCCTCATTAGATGGAAGTGATCTTCTCTTACCTCTGCTCCATGGGCCTCCTGTTGGATGGTCTGTTCATGCGGGTTGTATACACACCTTCCAGCCATGATGCCAAGTGAGTTACAACACAGATGCCTCATCTTTATATAGAGGGAGTGACTCAATCTCCTCCCTCCAGCTCAGGTATGTAAAGCACTTTGGCTCGGACTCCTAATAATACGGCATGACACAAATAAAACAAAAAGGAGGTGTCTGCATTATCAACAGATTGAGGCATCTGTCTGTAGGTACAGAACGGTTACCAGTGCAATGCCATAGTCTCCGAAAGACATCGTGAGCTATACAGAGCATGATACAGGCTTGAGAGGGGCCTGAACACACAGGTGTAACGTTTAACCTCCTCAGCGGTATGATTCTTTCCGATTTTTTGTGCTGAAAGCGGTACCATTTTTTTGCATGGAAATATGTAGTTTTTTATTGTAGGCTGTAATTTTTAGGAATAACTCACTGAAATCTGTCCGAACAAGAGTCTAGTAAACATCCGGTATGATAAAACTTGAAACACGAAATCATAAATTATAATTTAATAAATAATCATAAAAAATAATAATATAATAATAATAAATTTAATTCAATAATATAATCAAACCAAAAACACTGAAATTTGAAATACAGAGGCAAATTCGCACATCGCTGAGCAAAGTCGTAAAATCGTTTTCAGTGTCTGATGACGAATTTCCCCCACGAATCATTATCACTCAATTCTGCAAGTGGTTCTAATTTACTATCGCTGTTCTCTAGCCGGTCTAAAACCGCTTTTGACGTAAAGGGACGCTTTTTGGACGCCATGGACTTTTCTAAGTTTCCAGGCAGAACAGTCAAAATGCAGGCAGGGCACAGGACAAAGCACTCGGGACAAAATGTATGTGAAATGCATTGAAACAGCAATGACAGCAAAAATGACATTTTTTTAAAATTTCAAATTTCCCGCCGGTTTTGGCGCCTGTACGTCCCGACGTCACAGGGACCGGAACACAGAAGCCGGATGCTGGCATCGGCCTGAGGAGATGGTCGGGGACACTGCAGGGGACACATCGCGGGGAGCGAAGGACAAGGTAAGTGCTGCAGGGACCCCCTGAGCAACGCCGTATGGTAAGCCCGAGTGTAGCTCAGGGTTACCGCTCTTGGTACTCAAATTGTACCCCGAGCTACACTCAGGAAAACCGCTAAGGAGGTTAAGGGTCAGTTCACACTGCATGCGTTTCAGTAGATTTTTTTCGGCATCCGAAACACACAGAAAGTAGGCTAAATGGTTGTCAATGTTCATAGTTCATAGTGTGTTCCAGTTGCAGAATAAAAAGTAGAACAGGTTGCATTTTTTCTGCACAGAACTGTACTGGAACGCAGAAAAATGCATCAAAACCGCTCCGGAATGCACATGTCCCTATTTAAACTGAAGAAAAAGAGGGGAAGAAATGAACTGGAATGCACCAAAGCGCATTGGAAGTAGAAGATACTGCAATTTTTCTGCATACTGTACTGGAACGTGGAAAAATGCATCAAAACCACACCGGAATGCACATGTGCCTATTGAAATTGAAGAAAAAGAGGGGAAGAAATGAACTGGAATGCACCAAAAACGCATCAAAAACACATCGGAAATAGAAGATGCTGCAATTTTTCTGCATACTGTACTGGAACGTGGAAAAATGCATCAAAACCACACCGGAATGCACATGTCCCTATTGAAATTGAAGAAAAAGAGGGGAAGAAATGAACTGGAATGCATATAAAATGCATTGGAACGTGCCAAAAACACATTAAAAACACGCATGCAAAAAGGCATCCAGAACACATCTGGACTGTGTTTCTATAGTGTGAACCGGCCCTAAGGGTCAGTTCACACTACATGCGTTTCATTAGTTTTTTTTCTGCATTCAAAACCCACAGAAAGTAGGCTAAATGTTTGTCAGTGTTATAGTTCACATCAGTGCTTGCAGTTCCAGTGCGTTCCGGTTGCAGAAAAAAAAGTAGAGCAGGCGGCACTTCTTCTGCACAGAACTGTACTGGAACGTGGTAAAATGCATCAAAACCGCACCGGAATGCACACGTCAATATTTAAACTGAAGAAAAAGAGGGGAAGAAATGAACTGGAATGCATAAAAAACGCATCGGAATGCGGCAAAACGCGGCAAAAAAGCGTATGCAAAAACACATCCAGAATGCATCTGGACTGCGTTTCTATAGTGTGAATTGGCCCTAAGGGTCAGTTCATACTACGTGTGTTTAAGTTGTTTTTTTTCTGCATCTGAAACGCACAGAAAGTAGGCTAAATGGTTGTCAATGTCATCGTTCACATCAGCGCTTGCAGTTCCAGTGCGTTCCGGTTGCAGAAAAAAAAAAAGTAGAATATGCTGCATTTTTTCTGCATAGAACTGTACTGGAATGCAGAAAAACGCACCAAATCCGCACCGGAATGCACACGTCCTATTTAAATTGAAGAAAAAGAGGCGAAGAAATGAATTGGAATGCATAAAAACAACGTGGAATGCACCAAAAAACGCATAAAAAAAGCTCATGCAAAAATGCATCCGGAACACATCTGGACTGTGTTTCTATAGTTTGAACCGGCCCTAAAGGTCAGTTCACACTACATGCATTACAGTGGCTTTTTTTCTGCATCCAAAACACACAGAAAGTAGGCTAAATGGTGGTCAATGTTCATAGTTCACATCATTGCTTGCAGTTCCAGTGCGTTCCGGTTGCAGAAAAAAAAAGTAGAACAGGCTGCATTTTTTCTGCATAGAACTGTACTGGAACACGGTAAATTGCATCAAAACCGCACAGGAATGCACATGTCCTTGTTTAAATTGAAGAAAAAGAGGGGAAGAAATGAACTGGAATGCATAAAAAATGTACTGGAGCCAAAAGTGTATCAAAACGCGCCAAAAACGCATCAAAAAAGCTCATGCAAAAACGCATCCAGAACGCATCTGGACTACATGTGTTTATATAGCGGATTTTTTTTTTTCTATACTAGTAATGGCGGCAATCAGCAACTTATAGCGGGACTGCGGTGGACATTCTGACACTGGGGGGGAACTGACTTGGTGTCACTGACATCCCCAGTGATACCAACACAGTGATTACTGCTAAAAAAAAGCCCTGACTGTGTACTAATGGCACTGGGCAGGAAGGGGTTAACATCTGTGGCGATCAAAGGGTTAACTGTGTGCTGGGAGTGTTTTACTAGGGGACGTGTCTGTGTGCTTCACTGTAAGCACACTGCTTTGGATGGCTGTGCTGTGCCCCAGCTGACAGTGAAGAGAACTGTTAGTAAATAAAACAGTTCTCCCCGTCAGAGATCCTCGGTAATCACCAGGCGCTGGCGAGTAATCACCGCCCAGGACTCAGAGATTGACAGCTGCAGCCGTGAATGGCGGCGCGGTTAGGGTGCGCACCCCACCCTACCTGGAAATGCAAAATCACATATATATATACAGTGATTTTTCGCACCCGTGCCACCCTGTAGCGGTATTTCTGCTATAGGGTGGTTGGGAAGCGGTTAAGCAGCTGTAGCTATGGCTTCCCACCAGTTCGCAGATTACGCAAATGGCGGTAATAAAGATTGACTCTGAGTTGGTGTACAGAGGGATGCCAGTGCTTAGTGGGCCATGTATGTGTTGGGAAGCTGTCATTATTATTATACAGGATTTATATAGCGCCAACAGTTTGCTCAGCGCTTTACAATATAATGGGAGACAATACAGCAACAATACAGTTCAATACAAGAGGGTTAGGAGGGCCCTGATCCTGGGAGCTTACAATCTAAGAGGGAGGGACTAGTGGTACAAAAGGTAATAACTGTGGGGGGTGGACTGGTAGGAGGAGTAGAAGATTCCATTATTAGCTGAGGGCAGGTAGGCTTCCCTGAAGAGATAGGTCATGAATGTGACAGCTTCCTGCCAAAGGTTCACGGCAGCCACCGATGTCATAAAATCAAATGATTCATCCCAGGCCCCATTCAATTGCTGGCCAAGAAATTCCCCGGCTGACAGCGGACTGTAAACAGTGGGCGTTAAAGCATAACTAAAGGCAAGAATACACACGTGCTCCAACAGTACAACGTCCATAAGGTCTCCCTTGCTGAGATCGCCATCTTCTCCATGGCTTCTTCCAGGTTCCGGTCTTCAGCCAACTTAATTGGTTGGTGCAGGATGACGTCACTCCTGTGCATGCATTCATCTCCCTTGCTGAGATCGCTATTGTCAGGGACCTGTCCACGGCAGAGGTTCTGGAAGATCTGGCATTTCTGCCAGTACTCTGCATGGCCGCAGAAGGACACATCAGCCTCAGTCTGGTGCCAGACGGCCTTTATATGGAAGCTCATCACTTTCTCAAGTGGCTGGATGATCTCTATCTCCCTGTGCCTGTTCCCTGTGACTTTGACCCGTGATTTCCTGTTACCGACTCGGCTTGCTCCTGGACCTGTCCACTCTGCCTTACCCCAGATCTGACCTCGGCCTGGCTTACGGATACTCTCTCTCTCTCTTGCTCCTCTGTGAATGACCTCGGCTATCCCATCTGACTACGTCTGCTCTGACTCCCACCTGGAACCTGACCTTGGCTTGAACCGACTACCCAGTAAACACCTAAATCCTGGAAGGGCTTGCATACCACGCACAGGCGCATCCTGTCTGCAGACCTATCTCCGTGCACCAGCTGTGCTTCTGAGTGGACCACCAACCAGCACTCCTACAGGCGACCTGTGCAACTTTGGGTCTGACTCCCGCTGTCCCACTCTCAGGGGAGTCCAGAACTTAGCCGCAAGGGAAGCCCTCTCTCCATTGGCCTCCATCACCAGGTACGTGATAGCCATCTTCTCCATGGTTTCTTCCAGGTTCCGGTCTTCAGCCATCTTAATTGGTTGGTGCGGGATGACGTCACTCCTATGCATGCATTCATCTCCCTTGCTGAGATCGCCATCTTCTCCATGGCTTCTTCCAGGTTCCAGTCTTCAGCCACCTTAATTGGTTGGTACGGGATGACGTCACTCCTGTGCATGCTTTCATCTCCCTTGCTGAGATCGCCA